AGATTCAAGACTCAAAATTATGCATAATAGGTTATGTTAAATGAGTATGTAACTTTTATATCTTGGGTCAAGTCCTATAATAATGTATGTTAGCTTGGTGACCATACACACAGGGGGAGAAAAAATGATTTTAAATATTTTAATTTTAATATACATCATACTGTATGATATGGATCATACTGTACGATCTAGTGTTACAGAAATTAATTAAAATATTTATTTTCTTGAAAAAAATATTTTTGAAATATAATTAATCGTACAGTATGAACACCACATCCCCGTCCATTAAATTAGACAAAAAATTGAATTTAAAAAGTTATTCTAATCATACTGTACAAACCTGATCATAATGTACGATGTTTGAAATATTGCATAATTTAATCATGTGATTAGTCAATCAAGACGGCTTAATTTTGATATTTTGATCATATTGTACGAACTGGATCGTACTGTATAATCAATATATATATATATATGGTCGTCCCATGTTTCGTCCTAATTACATTTTTATTGAACTATTCGTATAGTACTAGCTGTACATCGTACAGTACGAATAGGTAAATTGAACTGTTCGTACAGTACTAACTGATGATCATACAATACTAACAGATTAAATTATGCATACTGGACGATCATGAGATCGTACTGTACGATCTTCGATGGTTGAACTGATTTTTTAAGATTTTTTAAAGCCCTCTTTTTAAGATTTCTCATAAGACTTTGTAAGAGTCTTTGACAGTCATTGTGTCTTTATTCTTTTGGAGAAAATTTAAAGAGAGAACTTGAAAGGGAGAGAGGAAAGGGTGGAATTTGAGAAGGAGAAGATCCTTTGAGGGGGTTTCAAGGGATTGTGGAGGGGGTTTCACATGGTTACTTCGGCAAGCTTACACCTCAGTACCATTAGATTCAAGGTTCATCTTGAGGGAAGTTTTGGGAAGAAGAAGATCTCTTTGGTGTGCTCCTCCGCCGCATTGGGGAAGGTGGAAGTGATTTTGTAAGGGCATTTTCGCCTACTGTGGGGGCTAAATTAGAGTCACTAAAGATTTAGTGAAATACTTGGAGGGTGCCTCCAGGGAGTGGACGTAGGTCAAGATTTGATCGAACCACTATGAATCTGGTGTGTTCTTTTCTTTATTATTTTCGTATTCATTTTTATTATGATTAACTACGTGGGTGAAATTGATAATTTATCTTTTACTGTGAATGTAATTTGCTTCCGCATCAAGTTATAAAAAAGATTATTCTTTTCATTAAAGAATATTTTAAATATCTAATTCACCCCTTTCTTGGCACATCTCGCACTTTCTAGTAGTATCTCGTACTTTCAGATGGTACAATATTAATTAGTTTATCATCTTATGCTTTTGTAGTTGATGAGATGTAGATATATTATATATATAGAAGGTGGTGATGTTATGAATATAAAGATATAGATGATGATGATGGTTCTATGAATGCTTTAATATTAAAGCATCCATTGGAGATTATGACCTCAATTTGTGATATACTTGAAACTAGTAAATGAGTGAGAACTTCGTTTATCCATATACCTTGGGGTTAAAAGTAATCTTTTAAGTATAGAGAACACATAGATAACTCATATCCTACAAATATGAGTGCTTGAAATTACCTCTAATTCAATTGATACTAATATAATGGCATGATGCCCGCTTTTGTCCTCAAATCATTTGGAAGTTCGACAACTTTTATAGAGCAAGAAAAAGCTAAAGAGAAGGTTGTATCTATTACAATCCAACCCAATAAGACTCACGAATTGTATAAGTCTTATAGTGCTGGTTTACAACAGGCAAATCCCAAGATCTAAGTTTTGAAAATTATTATGAATTTCTTCCAATTAAACTCTAAAACAAACAATAAAACACATAGCTACTAACATCATCCAGTGTAGTGAGAATAAACTCATCCATAAAATATATTTTCATCTCATAATCAAAATGTATATACAATATATATATATTCATATATTCATTTTATTACAATACCCTACCGAGAAAGATAGACACCAATCCTAAGAAAATCCATTGATTTCTAATAGAGTTGTCACTATGTGGACTAGTTAGTCCAGCTAGCTAATATGCAAAAGGGTTAAATATTGACATTGCATGCATCATACATACAAGCATATCTAATATGCATATCATATTACATTTATAACTTTTTGATAAAGTTTATAACATAATTAAGCTCAGTTATATATATTACATAATTCATGATTTGTATAGGAAATAATCATTCTTAACAATCAAAAGAAAGAAAGCTAAACTTCTAAGAATTTATGCAACAAAATAATATGAAGCTAACCATCAAAATCATGTCAAGATGAACACTTGGGGTTAATGTGAATAAAACAATTAAAGCATACCAATGAGTATCAAGGAGTACACCCTTAATAAGGAGGTGTATGTTTACCTTTTACTTAGTAAAGAGTCACTTGCCAATCATAGAACACAAGTAGCCCTGCGTTTTTATCATGCATTGATCTTCTCACTCCAACCTTCCTGCCAGGGTGAAAATGGATTTCAGTCCCTCCCGTAACCTCAACAGCAACAATACCGACCAATCAGTAAAAAAAAATAGCATAGAAAAGAATGGGAACTACTCAATCCACTCCAACAACATACTCACAATATCAAGCTCGTTGTCGTGTCCATGACTTAACTCCTCCTTGTGCCTCATCATTCCAAATGGAACCACCGTTTATATCGCCAAATTATAAATCCTAGCTGAATGCCACACCAAACAAAGTTTCACCGTGTAACATCCCAAGATTAAATTTTGAGAGAATTACTTATTTTAATCGCTAAATTAATCAACTAGAGATTTTATGAATTCATCAATATAAATCAAAACAGTAGAAGAAATTAAAAATTAAATACATCCATATATATATATATATATAATCATTCAATTAATATAAGTATGAACATATAATTATAAAAGCATGTAATAATTAATAAAACATTAACTAATCATATGATCAGTAAACATCAGTACAACTATATATCTTAAGAGTAGAGATTAATAATTGATAACCATACACAAGGGGTCAGTAAACTTTATCATTTCTATACCCATTAGTTATAAAATAATTTTTCTTTATCTTAGTTTAGAAAATCTATATACCTATCATATTCATATACATATCATATAGTGTCGATGCTATACATGTATATCATATAAATCATACGATTCATATATATCAAATGCCTTTGTATTAATTTTATCAGTCTTATTAGATACTTGTATCAATCATGACCTATATCGTATGCAATATAAGGTATCTAGGTATTTGTGGAGTCTTTTAGGCTCTACAGAAATTAATCTCAATCATATCAATCTTGTTTTAAGGAATCAATTATATCAAAAGTCATTTTACATCAGGTGGATTTTATATCAAAAGTTGTCACTTCTTACTCGTATGCGTATCATATCACATAAATATATCTTCTCATGCCTTCCTTTTTATTTTATTTAGAATTACATCACAAATCTTAAAAGGAAAGTCCGTCAACCCAGCTAGGGCTGTCAAAACTTGGTCACGGGTCGGGTTCGGATCCAATCCGAAATTGACCCGACACTGTTCAACCCGACCCGTTTTTGCAAACGGGTCGGTTTCCCGAACCCGAACCCGACCCGCTTCAGGTCCGGGTCAACCCGAACCCGACCCGATTTGGGTATATTTTATTAAATTTTTTTATTTAATTCAATTTATTTAAATCTAAATATAATTAAGGTAAGATTTACTTCAATTAATTTAAAATAAATCAAGATTAATTTAATTTGGGCAATAATGTTTATAATTTTTTGAAATATCATTTACTTATTTCATAAAAATTCATTAAAACCCTCCTAAATTAATTAAAAACGGGTCAAACCGGGTTGATTTCGCGTTTTCGGGTCAACCCGAACCCGAAATTTTCAGGTCGGGTTCGGGTCGGGTTTTCGGGTCGGGTCAAATATTGACAGGTCTAAACCCAACCCACCCTCATATATGGGCTATTACTCACGCACACCCGCACACATGCACGCGCACACACCCGCACACACACTCGCGCACACCCGCACACACTCGCGTGCCTGCACGCACGCACGTGCTCACGCACTAGCAATTAACCCTCCGTTATATATATAGTGTTATTTTTATTAGAATTAATCCCTAGTTATACAAAAATCTATGTTTATTTAAAACCAGTGACTAGCAATAAATTATAACTAGCAATTAACTCAAGATTGTCTAATAATTTCATCTAATTGCCAATTCATAATTTATAAAACAGGAAAAATATAATTCCCTTTGTTTTTTTAGAATCTCTATTAATGTCATGATGTAGCCATTAAAAAAAATAATAAAGCTATTTCTGTAAAGCACCCAACATCCCCAAGAATGAAGGCTTTCATTACTCCCTCCCAAATTCAATATTTTTTGCATTTCAAAATAGGATGATCATAAATTTCAAGATAACCAAAAGCTTTGATGGGGTGCTATTTGCAGTATATAATCGTCATATTTAGGAAAGGACCATCTCCTTGCTCACTGAAAATTTAAACTAATTTTTTCTTGGCAGAGCCCCAAATTCGAAGCCCGTTGAAAAATTTGAAACCACGTGACTAGCCGTTAGGATCGTCTGAATCACGCCCCCTCCTCTTTCTATCTGTTCCCTAAGCCAACGGTAACAAATTCGTGACCGTTGGATTTAAAAAATAAAACATCAGCCCTCCACGACGACATGAACACGTTTTAAAATGAGGACCCCTCTTGCCATTCGATCGAGATCGGAGAAAGGGTACAGAAAAACAGAAGAAGCGATTTCAAAGGGGAGGTGTTAGCGAGAGGGAGAGAGCTTCTCATCATGGTCTTCTTGCTTTAGCTCTCTCCGTCTCGTGTTGGATCTTGAGCTAACTGCTTCTCAGGTGCATATCGCAATCTGGGCTTCAAGATCTTGCTGGGTACAAGTTTCTTCTTAACGCAGGGTTAAGGGATGGATATAGGAGGTGAGAAGCAGCACGATGTGATGAAATCGGAGAACTTCCAAGGTTCTTAAAAGAAATTTTCTTTCTTTGAGTTTTTGCTCGGTGAATCAGTTCAGAAAGTCGTGGATCCATCTTATTTCTTTGATTGATACCTAAGTTTGATTTCTTTAAAAGGTTTTCGAATGGTGGGAGTGAAGTATGGCAGAGAGATAGGGAGCAGCGACAACAGAAGAGCACTGAGGGACATCAATAATCTCGTGGGCAGCAACGTTCCTTACCCCCCTAAGATCATCAAGAAAGTTATGACAGAGTAATGCTCCAGCTCTTTTCTTCAGGACCGCCATACTTCAGAATCTAACCCCAAATTTCTTAATTCTTTCTTATTTGTTATTATTTGCTAAAGTTCTTATGTGGATTTCAGGGATGAGAAGAACAAACAGAGTTTCGTAGGCCGAAGACCGATTACAAGGTCAGAAGCAACTTTTCTATTCCGGTATTCCCCGCTTTTTTTCATCAGTTTACTCATTTAAGCTAAAATATGCCAATGATGCTTTAGGAGGTTTGCTGCTTCCCTAGCTCAAAATTCCCAAGACTGCCTTCAGGTTGTAAAGAAAAGTGAACTTAACACGCAACAACATTTTTCTTTCTTAGATCTCACACTGTCTTTCAAACTCTTTAATTCCTACACAGAATGTCAGCACTAGAGCCAAACCTATTGGCTGCCTAGTTCAAGCGAGAAACCAACTAGTCCAAGATACAAGTTTTGCATGTACTGGTGATGCCATATATGAGGAAGAGCATGTTGCATTTCCTATTGATGAACCTTTGCCAATGGTGGAGGATACTGAAGAGATGGTATGAGCTCTTTCATTCTGGATTTTTTTTTTTTTTTGCATTAAAATTGGTGATTTATGTTAAAATTAGCAGCCTATATGTAATAATATAACAATGTTTATATATGAAAATATTGTTAATTTCTTTCAAGATTGATTGTGGGATGAAGGAAGTTGAAATGGAGGATGTAGAAGCAAAATTGCTTGAAGAGATTGACATCTGTGATTCTGACAACACTCTTGCTGTTGTCAAGTATGTGAATGATATATACTCTTTCTATAGAGAAACAGAGGTAGACTTTTTGCAATACAAATATATCATTATTGATATCACACTATGTTTGGCAGAAGCTTAATTTAAATAATAATAAAAAAACTAACAAAATGCATCAAAATTTTCAGGAACTTGGCTGTGTCCCGCCTAATTACATGTCAAACCAGTTTGATATTAATGAGAGGATGCGAGCTATATTGATTGATTGGTTGATTGAGGTATAAATAAATTTTCTTCTGATCTCATTTGATGTAAATAATCTGAAACACGGGAAATAATTAACAATTTATGGTATAGGTGCACTACAAATTTGAATTAGTGGAAGAGACACTGTTTTTAACAGTGAACCTAATAGATAGGTTCTTGGCTCGCCAAAGTGTGCCAAGAAAGAAGCTTCAACTGGTAGGGGTGACAGCCATGCTACTTGCATGCAAGTATGAGGAAGTAATGGTTCCTGTCGTGGAAGATCTTATCGTCATCTCAGACCGAGCCTACACTAGAGACGAAGTCCTTCAGATGGTATTCATACTTAGTGAAGGATCAAATTGTCAAATATGAATTATTTATGCAATCATATTATCTATTTTATGTGTTTTTATTGCCACTTATTGCAAGCAGGAAAGTTCGATTGTAAACACCTTACAGTTCAACATGTCAGTGCCAACACCTTATATGTTCATGAGGAGATTTCTCAAAGCTGCTCAGTCTGATAGACAGGTAGAAGCTCCCTTTGAGAAAATAATAATTAATGTTTTTCCTAATTTGTGATGAAAATATTCTAACATAAAGTTCTTGAATTTGAGCTAGATCGAGCTTCTTTCGTCTTACATAATAGAGCTGTGCCTTGTTGAGTATGAAATGCTCAAATTTCGCCCTTCAATGCTTGCTGCTGCTGCAGTTTATACAGCTCAGTGCAGTTTAAAAGGATTCAAGCACTGGACTAGGACCAGTGAGCTGTGCACTAAATACTCAGAAGTCCAGCTTCTGTAAGTTTAGCGTCTGTTTCATCCCATTATTTCTATTAATGCATATCAGCTTAGCTATCTTTCTTTAAATTTTTATTGCAGAGACTGTTCTAGGATGATGGTGGACTTCCACCAGAAGTCAGGAAAAGGAAAGCTTACTGGAGTCCATAAAAAATACAGCACATTCAAGTTTGGATGTGCAGCAAAATCTGAACCTGCTCTATTCTTGTTAGATACGAGGAACTAACTGAACGTATCCCCGACTTACATAACAATGCTAATCTTTTTCTTAGAGCTAGAAAGGTTGGAGAGTTTGACTGCTCTTTGCAACTGAAGTTGCTAGTTTGCATGCAATGTAAGTTGCAGTCGTTGAACTGTATGCAATTACTGTTCTAATAGTTTAGTTTGATCGGATTTTTAATAATTGTCTCAGAATCTATGCTGAGAAGTCTGTATTTTAAGATCAAATAGTTATTTGTCAAATTTGTCAACAATCTCAAACAATGAATAACAGATATCACTTGACAATCATAGTTCTCTGTTTGATACTTGTTTCTCGTGATGTGCTCTACCTGAGTACATAATCAATCTTCTGTGCAAAACAGGCTCACTTTTGTTTTCTTTTTTATCACTTACAAACATTGTAAAATATGCCATCAGTGTTCTAATAGTTTCGTTTGATCGGATTTTTAATAATTGCCTAAGAATCCATGCTGAATATCTCTTGACAATCATAGCGCTCTATTAGTTTTAATTGATCAAATTTTAATATTTGTTTATACAACCATTTTCACTTACAAACAGTAGTGCTTCCTTACTCTGCTGGTTTATTCATAAGCATGTAATCTGAATTGAAGAAAAGTTTTAGTTCGTAGTTAGAATAGGAAAGCTAGAAGAAGATACTAACTGTTTTTTAAATGAAAGAAAGAAGCCTTTGATGTGTGATGAAGTTTATGATTCTCTGGTTAAGTTCTAACTTCTATCCTTCCAAAGTTTTTTTATTAGTCCATTTGGAAATGGGTGGCTATATTAGTTGAGGTCAACATATTTGGTCAATGCATAACTAAGAGGAAAAGTCCGTAGATTATGTATTTACACAGTTTCATATAAATTATGTGTAAACCTAATGAAACATTTTGATGAATTAAATATACTATTTAGAAATTGATGATAAAATATCTTAGTGAAACTGGTATAAGGGATCTATATTTTTGTATTTACATGTTCAAAAAGTTGTTTCACATATATCTAGCAAAATAACTTGGCCATAGAAATCAAAGACCCACACTAGCAAGACCGAGGAGCCATCCCAGACATGAACGCCAAGAACTCACAAAAATTCGTTCAAGCCCCATGGAATAACTTATCTCATTATATGTTAATCTCAAGGTTTGTGCTTATGATCCTCTAAACTCAGTCAAACCTTAGCTTGCACTTTCTATGGGGTGACCAACATCACGGTCACTTTCAGAGGACTCGCCCACATAAACTTGTTATGTATATATCTCGAGAACTTACTCACCCATAAAAAATAACACGGAAACTCACCCTGGAATAAAAGTTCATATCAAATGTAGAGAATAATTTGGATTCATATCAGCATAGCCATATTACAATACAATTTGTAATGGGTCATAATAAATATTATACTTTTTTGTAGTTTTTTCTTGTAGCCCTCTATATCCTATAAACAAAGGACGAATAAATACATTTTGAAACTTTTTTGATATTTTTCAATATGTTGGCATGCTTTGGGCTTTCATCTCCCAATTTCTCCATACTCACCCAAACCTTTCTCAGTTTTCTAGTTCTTACCTAGAAGGTTGCTTGCTAGTAAAGTTGTATATTATCCGTGAATAAATTATGAATCCATGAATAAATTATGATCCAACATTCTGTAATGACAATGAACTTGGACTAATGATACTTACAAGAAGACAAGCACATCTTAAAAAGTATAATATCTTAAGAAGTATTGTACTTCTTTCGTAGAATCCTCTAGAACACTCTTACCCTATAAAAATAAAGAATGAATAAACGTGTACATTTTGAATATTTTTTTTTGATATTTTCAATTTGTAGGCAAACTTTGAGCTTTTGTCTCTATCACTCTCCTTACTCACCCAACCATTCTCAGTTTTCTAGTTCTTACCTAGGAGGTTGTTTGATAGTAAAGTTGGGTATTGTTCATGAACAAATTATGATCCATCATTCTGAAATGCATACCCTGGTAGAGTGAGATTGACCAGGAGTTGGTGGGCTAGGTGTTTCTATATGTTTTAGATGAGTTCTATTTTGATCATCTATTATATGTATTGAATGATAATTGGAAGAATCGTTATTATTATATATAATTGTTTTGGGATGAATAGAACTGGGATGATGTACATGTTTATATTTTAAATGATATCTCTATTTTATTTCTTGTATATGGATGTTTTAGTGGCTCTGTGTTAAAAAATTTTTCTTTTCAAATAGTTCTAAAATAGGTAGAACATGTTTGGAAAATTGGTTATATTGAGTTGGATCATGACACCTACAACCTAGACTTTAACTTTATCTGCTCTTGTCTATTCAGTACGGGTCTCACCCTTCCTTTAAATGACATCTAAATCATGTAAGATGAGAAAACACTTGCTTAGTAGGCTAAACGAACTTACCAAGGAATTTAATATTCACTAATTAAAGTAAAATGCATAAGAGTTAAATTTTTATATAAACAAGATGCATTACAATTTTAGTTAAAGCAACATAGAGTATGTGTAAGGCATCATCACTAACATGATTTCAACGGTACGTTAGTGTTAACATTAATTATGGTCAATGGTATAACCATATCAAAGGCAATAACATAAACAAATTTTAAACTTTTAAGTGGTAATAACGTGAATATCTATTGAACATGAACATAATATTATAATAGAATACATGGTGAAACATAACATGCAACATACAAATCATAATATGATTCACATTCACATTGCACATTTCCTGAAGTCTCTTTATACCTTACTTTCATTTGTACCTCCACTTGATCATATTAGATTGATTTTACTTATAATTCTACTTTCACTTATACTCCTTATTCTCACATATTTTTCATGATAATTGAGGAATTATATGCCACTTGCATTAAATAGAACATGAAACAACCGCCACGAAACATTTCTTCATTCTCCTCCAACACATGAACATGCATCAACATTAGTTGAAATGTATGAGCAACATTTAGCATGGTACAAAAAATACATGAAAATAATGCATGTAAGACATTTTTAATTGTGTGCATGGGTTAAAATTTGTATACATATTCAACAGTAAAAAAATCAAAAAATCATTACTAAGGAACATTCATAATGCCATTTTGAAGTATCGGTTATACTTTAGCAATTTCTATAAATGTCAAAAATACTCAAATAAACATTTAAAAATGATTTACAAATAAAACTACCAAGGAAATTTTATTTTTTTTGTCAATGTGGCTAGAATATTATATTATATAACATATTAAAAGTTATATGATAAAAACTATTTAACTCTTTGTAAACCACATTTATGTCAACACAAATCAAATAAAAGTTTAGAAATACTTACACAAATGTCAAAATTGAAATCTAAAGCATGGAATCAGTAACTTTCATCTAGTTGAACAATTTCCTCAACTACCATGACAAACGAAATCGACTCCACAACATCCAAACCCTAGTTTCTTTTTTCTCCTTCCTATTCTCCTTTTTTGACTCTCTCTAAGCTTCAAAATGAAAATGAGGTTGGAAAAAAATAATTTTAGATATTTATATATAAAAACACTAAAACTGATCCAACATCATAGCACTAAACTTCCCAGTGCTAAACTTCCCAACGCCGCTGCACTTCTAAGGAACTACTCATTTTGGAAACTTCAATAATCAAAGACAATAGCCCAACAACATCGTAGTGCTCCCAAACGATTTTCAATATGGGGAGGTATTTTTAATATAAGGCTTCTTTTTTATACATCAGTATTTTTAATAATGTTTGTTTATATATATATATATATATTTGCATGTCACATTCACTATAATAATATTATTAGTCTCAAATTACTTAGTAATTTTTTCACTTGTACCTCAAGCTCTATAAGTAACAATCATTGGCTAACTAGAGAAAAGACCGAAGTGTTACGTTGAAACTTTACCTCAGTTTGGTACTCGTAAATGAGAATCTTTAGAGAGGAAGAATACGTTGAGGATAGTAATTGTGATCAATTTTTGCTCCCATGGCGGTTTGTATAATGTTCTGGAAACTCTTCGAATTCCAAAATCTTTTAGTTCGAATGAAAATTTTGAGTATATTTTTCTAAGAAATGAAATTGTGAGCGAATTTCCTCAATTTTAAATATTATGGGACATACGAACTCAAAATTCTCTTCTAGTTTAGCTCTAAGAGAAATGGTAGATGGAAGAGTACAACTGAGCCAATTTGAATTAAAAAGTTTCTAACATTTGATTTAAAAAATTGATTAATATTTTAATTTTTAATTAAATATAATAAATTATATTAAAATTATTTAATTTATATTTATATAAAGTATAAAAATGTTATATTATTAAATTAGCGATTATTATATATAATTTTAAAATTTGCATTTTGTGTGTGGTGAGTTTTGAACCTGGGTTCCAGAAGTAAAAATATAAATTCTAACTACATGACTTCAAATAAAAATATGATTTTAATTTAATAAGTTATTTATTTATTAAATATTTTAATGATCTTTTTAGAAAATTGCTAATCTAATTGCCTTTTTCTTAGAGAATGCTAATTAGAATAGCATTTTTGCTCATATTTAAAAATTTTAATAGTAATGCTTCATTTGCTTAATTATATTTTAAGTAAGCTCCGTTTTGAAAATTTTCTTTTTAGAGGGATATGCATATCACTGAAAGTATTGTTATTTGAATATTTAACATCCAAATTGTACTATTTATTCATATAGCACTTAAAAGTTTTAATAACATAAAAAATAATGGTCGCTACAACCATTAGGTGGTAGGTAGTGTGAGACTTGATGGCGGCTGTTAGCGGACTACTCACGAAATCTTATTAAGATCTATGGTTCTAACTTTGCTAAGTACATCAACATTACAACTCGCATCTAAGCAGAGTCCACAATGGAATGGCGTAAGTGAGGACGATAATATCGACATGGCTAGAGAACAAGATGATAGCTTGTGGGAGGATCTTGTGTGGTGGTGAGATAGAGCATAAGAATGTGAAAGGTTCATGAGATCTAGGCCATCTATGTTGAAATTCTAATGAGTTCCTGACGGCGAGGTCATGAGAAAAGATGATATAAAGTTAATAGAGTGTCATACATGATCTAAATAATAAAATTTAGATATTACAATATATGCTTTTAAATTTTAAGTGCTATGCTTGTAATTTTTTTTTTAAAATAAAGGAGTTAGCTAGGACAACTAGTAAGACTTCGTTTGAGATAACTATTTTACTGTTTTTTTAAAATAATTTTTTAATTAAAAAAGGTGCTTTAATAATTAGTAATAAAGTAGTTTCAAATGGGAATATGGGACAATAATTTTTTTTTAATATTTTTTAATATAAAATTTTTATATTAGAAAATTATTTTAAAAATAAGTAAGAAAACTATCGACCGTATAAATGCATCTTACGGTGTATTTGTTTGACGGAGTAGATTTAAGTACTTGTTCCTGTCTGAAAGAAAAATCTGGGAGCGAGGGCATCATGGCGGGTCCGGAAACCTTGTGAGAGAGATTGAAAGAGAGAACACGAGTGAGATAAAAAAGATGGCAGCTAGTGAAGAGGATTTTATACCGCGAATACCTAGCGAGAGCAAGAGTGGTGAGAGTAAGAGGAGAACGGGCGAGAATGTCAAGCATTTGCTATCATTTGTTTCTCCATCCAGCTTCTTCGCGATCCAGTAGAAGCTACACGAAGGCAATTCTCTTCACTTTCTCTTTTTGTGAAGAGTTTGATGTTTGATTTCATCAGTAGATTTTTATCAATTTCGGATTCCGCATTACCATTTTATGAAATATTATTATTATTTTTCTGTTGTTTTAGTTATTTTGGTTTTGAAATGCTCATTCACTCATTCGGGTTTCATCTTTGTCAATTTTTAATCCCCTTCTCGTTTTTAGTATGAATTTGCGGTAACTTGGACAATTTTTTTTTCTGCTTCTAATTTTTCCTTTGTGTCGCCACTCTTTCCAGCTGGGCTTAGATTTCCTGATCCGTTGCTGTTTATCTACGCTAGTCTTATTTGGATTGAGAATAGCTGGTCAAGTGTTCACTGGTCTTTCTTGCTTGAGATATTCTACGCTTGTTTCGCATATTTACATGCTTTTCTACATCTTAACTACTTGATCTCACTCGAAAATGCCTTTCCTATGACTGTTTCGGGATCAGAGTTAGAATTGTAAAGCATTGTTTGCGAGTATTTAAGGAGGTGGGAAAACAGAAAATATCGATAAAGTTCTTTCAGATCAAAGAATGTTCGACATTTGAGACTTTTATAAGATTAACGATTTATAACTGAGTGTCTGGGTATTTGCTGGGTTGGTGGTGGTTTGGGGCCTCCCTAACCTGTTAAATGGAAGCTCGCAACTTTATCCTTTGATATTTGTTAAATGGTATTAATGCAGCACTGCCTAACAATTCTCAAAATTGGTGAAAGTTCGTGAGGAACATAAAAGGTTATAGAAAAAGAGGATGACTGGGAAGATTGATCTTTATTTATTCTGTAGCCTCCCGACGTCTCCTCTGTTTAGGAAAATTTTTGGTAGTCTAGGCCTGCCTGCTACATCAAGAAAGACGTCCATGGTCGGTGTCAGGTGACACCGTGTTTGTGGTCTTCTACCACAACATGCCAAGAAAGGTGTGCATTGGCTTGGGAGGTTACCTGCACGAAAGACTTGCAATTTTTTCCCCCAGGCATAGAAGCACATACACGGATATTTAAATCTTATCCCGCCACGTTAAGAAAAGCGTGTATACTGCTCACCTGTCTCTCCGCAAGCATCGCATCGGGCTCCCTCCCACCATGCTAAGAATAGCGTGCATAAGTGGTCCGCGCATTGCGTTGCAAGTGACAAAAACATGATTTTGCAAATTTTAAGTTTAGAAATCATTATAACTTGGTGAGCAAGGGCGACGACGACGTAAGTATAGAAATTTCTCTTTTTATTTCTCTGTACTTCTCTTTTTTTTTTTTCGTCTTTCCCCTTTTGTGTGTGTGTGTGTGAGTGTTTTGGAGTCGCAAGTTTATGTGGGTTGTTTGCATTTCTAATTAGTTGTTGTAGTGTGAGAGGTAGTGAGTGAGGGGCTGTAGCCTTTCTAAATGTAGTTTGGTTAGTTAACTGAAAAAAGTGGCTGCTGAAGTTGAACATAAGAGGAAAATGAATGGGCTGCTTCACTAAGAGGTAGAAGAGTGTGATCGATTTGGGGCAATTGAAGGGTGTGAACGGGATTGGGAGAGGCGAGTCGGCTTGCGTTTGCGCAGTTTCGTGTGGTTTGGCAACAAATGGGTTGAATGGGTTTGATTTGTGCGTTGATCCAAAAGAGCAAATGATTAGAAAGAGTTCGTGAGGTGCGATTCTAGAATAGGGAGTTGCAGGTTTTGTTAGGGGTGGACGAACCTGGGTGCAAGTCGGAGAGGGGAAGGTTTGATTTGAGGTAGAGCTTGGCTGTGTGAGCTGGATCGGGTGAAGGATCAGCAAGGTGGAAGCGAGCGGGGTGAAGTCGATTTGCGGCAAGTTGAGGAGGTAGGATTAGGATGGATTGGGGCTTGTTATGGAGATTCAGTCATGAGTTGACAGAGTCGGTCAGGTGGATCAGCTGTAGGTGAAAGCGGGCGAGCTACGAGATCGGCAGTGGATCAACGGGGCTTGGGCGTCCGAGTGAATGCAACAAAGAGGTGTCAGGTTGGACCTTGTGGTAATTGGATGAATAAAAAGGATTCGAGTGGAGGATTAGAGAGGAGTTCGGCCGAAAGCTTGCGGTCCTACTTGTCAAAGAAAAATGAAGGACTTAATTTCATCTTCGTTTTATTAGTGAGGGTGGGAGTGCGTTCGAGATGAGCGAATTGCGGAATGGCGTTGTTGTCGACGTTGAACAAGTACTATTGTTCTCTTTTTTTTTTAATTTCAATTTTGTTAAAATAATAATAATAATAATAACAATAATAATAATAATAATAATAATAATAATAATAATAATAATAATAATAATAAAATGAGACAATTTCGCACGTCATGAAATTCATCGTTATTGCCTTGGGATCCACATTGATTTTTCCCCTAGGAGGTTCATGAGGCAAATTTACACTCATTTTCAGGTGATTCGGACATTTTGAACGCAACGATGAACTTTGTTTTGTTATCGGACATCGTTTGGACAATGTCACACAATATTTTAACGTGTTGATCGTCGATTTCGATCATTTTTGTCTAATTTGACTGCAAGCGTGATGCAGTCAAAACTTGCTATTTTATATTTTCTTTATTTTCCACTTGTGTTTCTAGCTTTCTTTCTCCATTGGATATTTGTTTGCTGCTATTAGCCCCTTGGTTTCCTGTTGGCCCTTTGGTTTTCCTTGCTGGTTCACTATTTTTCCTGCTGGACTTCAGTTTCCTTGCCTACTGCTCTTGGTTTCCCTGCTGACTTTTGGTTTCTTTGTTTTTGGCTGTTCAGTTTCCCTCCTTGTTGATTCCTATGCTAAGTGTTTTAATTTCTCATTAAGTGGGCTATCTTGAATAACTTCTATTGGCTTTTTTAGTGGCGCATTTAATTGTGTAATTTATTGCCATTTTTCCTTTCTTCTCTTATGTAATGTGGTTGATTTCCTTTGTGAAAGAGAGAAATATTTGATGAATTTTTTGAATGTGAAACCTGAGGGTTTTTCTTAGCTTGTGAGCTATCTTTTTCCTTATCTTCTAATACTTCGTCTCGGACTTCTTTCTACTTCTTCTCTCCATGGTTTCCATTTCATCAGTATCTTTCTTCTCTAAACTATTATGAGAACCTGAGGGTAAGCTTGCGAGCTGTCTTCTACCTTCCCTCTACTACTTCGTTTCCGTCTTCTATCTACTTCTTCTCTCAATGGTTTCCCTTCCACTTGTATATTTCTTCTTTAAATATTATGAGTTGTAAGGTGTGTTATGCCTCGTTCTATTAGTATATGTCGGAGGTGCATTAGCATGTGCTGAATCATAATTCCTGTGGTTGATCTCTTGTTTGTCCTTTCCTTTGAGCACCTTTTTCGATTTTGTAATTTGTATGTGAGGTGACAATACATGGTTATTCTGAGGGTATTTTAATTTAGTTGTTTGGTTTCTTATGTCTTCCTAACTATTATCTTAGCTTTGTTTCCTACTTAGTTTCCATCATTTGTGTTTGTTTATGTGATATTGAAAGGAAGTGTTATCATTTGCATTCCTAGTGTTCTCCCACTTGGCATAAGAACTTATGGTTGCATCAATTTAGTATCAGAGTCTTAGGTCACATTAATTTGGTACCTGAGCCTTTGGTTTCATTAGAGGGGCTCATTCCTAGGTAAATTCGACACTCCAATTGCAACGGCGTAGTCCGTTTGACAATCGGAGGTCGTTTGACCACTTTAGTGACGCATCGTGCCTGCCGACCATCGCTTAAGTCGCCAATTTCATATATTTTTATGTGTTTATTAGTATATGAGTTAACAAATAGCCTGCCATTTTGGTCTATATTTTTGGCAACATAACTTGCCAAGAAATCCAAGTTGCTCTTAATCTATTCTACCCTCCTAGATTCTTCTTCATCTTCCTAGGTTAAACGTTTTATGCTTTGGTGCTGAACCATAAACATTTATTTGGAACCTCTTTAATCTGTTAGGCATATCTTTATTGATAATTATCGACTACTTGGATTTATTTTGACTGACTTCTACTTTATTCCGCTTGTCTTTTTTTCCTTTTTTTCTCACCTGCAGGCTTCAAGATGCCCCGGCATTTCTCAGCTCCAGTCAACTTCATTACAAAATGCATCTAACAAGTTGTCTTTCCACTACTCCTTTTGTTATCCCCATAAAGTCCACAGAAATACTCAGGTAACTAATAATAATTAGATTTAGAAACTATATTTGATGATTTTGCATTTTCTTTCTGATACTGATCTGTCGTTCTTGTAGGCAGTTGAGCCTACTTTTGCAATTTCAACCATGTTGAAAGATACAACAGTTGAAAATGCTGAAAACATTGGAGTTCTCAGTGTAGACCCGTCTTTAGAACCATACAAGGACCATTTTATTTATAGATCAAAAAGATATTTTGAGCAGAAAGCGCTAATTGAAAAATATGAAGGGAGTCTCGAAGAATTTGCTCAAGGTTAAGATTGTCATTTTTCTTGAAAAGCAAGTTTTGAGTGATGTTTCTTTGACCAAAGTTTAAATACAACTTAGTTATATGATCCCTGCCATTCTTGTAGGTTATCTGAAGTTTGGGTTTAACAAAGAAAAAGATGGAATTGTATATCGGGAATGGGCCCCTGCTGCTCAGTGAGTCTTCACGTCGCCCATAATATGTACTTGTTGTTTATTACTTTGGTGATTTTGGGCAAGTTGCATTCAATTGTTCTTGCAACAAACATTAACAATTGATATTGGAATTTTTTGCTGCACCATTTCAATCAACTTATTTTGAGACCATTAATTCCTTAACTACATGGTGTATTAGTTTAACTCTTCATTGATGAAAGAGAGATGTAATTTTGTATTTTTCGTTTGTTTGTTCATTTAGGGAAGCTCAACTGATAGGAGACTTCAATGGCTGGAATGGATCCAACCACAAGATGGAAAAAAATGAATTTGGTGTTTGGATGTTAAAAATTCCGGACAATGGGGGCAAACCATCAATTCCTCATAATTCAAGGGTAAAATTTCGTTTCAAGCAAAGCAATGGGACATGGGTTGATAGAATTCCAGCCTGGATCCGATATGCGACAGTTGATCCTAATCAATTTGGAGCTGCATATGATGGAGTTTACTGGGATCCACCCCCCTCAGAAAGGTAACAACTTATGCTCATGCTAATTTCTTATATTTTATTTCTTTTTGGGTGATCAGATGCTATTACAAATGATATGAATTCTGATACTCTTCAGGATATGAATTCTGATACAATTTGTCCTGTTAATTACCCTTTTTAATTCGCACAGATATGAATTTAAGCACCCGCGCCCTCCAAAGCCTATAAGTCCACGTATATACGAGGCTCATGTTGGTATGAGTTGTCCTGAACCACGCATAAGTACATACAGAGAATTTGCTGATGATGTTCTGCCTCGTATTCGAGCAAATAATTATAACACAGTTCAATTAATGGCTATCATGGAGCATTCCTATTATGCATCTTTTGGGTATCATGTCACAAATTTCTTTGCTGTTAGTGGCAGATCTGGAACACCTGAGGATCTCAAGTATCTAATAGACAAAGCACATAGTTTTGGTCTGCTTGTTCTTATGGATGTTGTCCACAGCCATGCGAGTAACAATGTATCTGATGGCCTTAGTGGCTTTGATGTTGGACAGAGAACGCAGGACTCTTATTTCCATACTGGGGAGAGTGGTTACCATAAATTGTGGGATAGCCGATTATTCAACTATGCTAACTGGGAAGTTTTGCGGTTTCTTCTCTCAAATCTAAGATGGTGGTTAGGTGAATTTCAGTTTGATGGATTTCGATTTGATGGAGTGACTTCAATGTTGTATCATCATCATGGTATCAACATCGCATTCACTGGAAATTACAGTGAGTACTTCAGTTTTGCAACAGATATAGATGCTGTTGTCTACTTAATGCTGGCAAATTATTTGGTTCATCGCTTTTTACCGGATGCGATTACCATTGCGGAAGATGTTTCTGGAATGCCAGCTCTTTGTCGCCCTCTCTCTGAATGTGGAATTGGTTTTAGTTATCGTTTGGCAATGGCAATTCCTGACAAATGGATCGATTACTTGAAGAACAAAGAGGATTTAGACTGGTCGATGCAGGAAATTGTCCATACTTTAACTAACAGAAGATACACTGAAAAATGCATTGCATATGCTGAAAGCCACGATCAGGTAGATCGTTAAATCTTCAAATGGATGACTTGTATTGATCAATTGTCATGCAATCATGGTGGGTGAGACAAATGTATTTATGTACATGCACTAGCAACTAGCAACTCTTTTCACTAAATTATGTAGATAACTAATAAATGACAATGTGAAGTAGTTTTATATGGACTGATATTTGAGAGAGGATGCTGATTTTGTTTTACAGTCTATTGTAGGTGACAAGACCATTGCCTTTACTCTGATGGATAATGAAATGTACACTGGCATGTCTGATTTACAACCTGCTTCTCCTGTCATTGATCGGGGGATTGCACTTCATAAGGTTCGCTTCTTAGGAACAGTGTTTTTTTGTTGTCACAATAATGTTAATAATTATTTGAAGATCCTCATTTCAGCCAGCTTGCTAATTAGATCTAGATTATACTGTGTTATTTTGATTTTGGTGTTGCTATTATAAATTTTCAGATAATTCACTTCTTAACCATGGCTCTTGGAGGTGAAGGTTACCTGAATTTCATGGGAAATGAGGTATATAGGTTAATACTTTTTAATTTTGTTAAGGCAACATGTGTTTTTGTGATGCTTGTACATAATATACAAGAGTAAATATTAGTTACGGTAAATCTATCTATTGTGTGTGTGTATATATATATATTCCTGATAAGGAAGGGAATAATTTCCTTATTCATCTATTTGAGATTGGTAAATAAATGGGAAAGGAGTAGCTCGATCTCAGAAAATATGGAAATTAGAGTAAAAAAAAATGCTGGAAAAATCACAATAAACTAGAAAACAAATGTATTAATGAATCCTTGTAAAAAGAAAACCCCCATCCTCCACCCCGACCCTTAAGATGGACTATGCATGTTGAGAAGTCCCTATTTGGTACTCATATCGTCAAAGTTGTTCCTTGGAAGAACTATAGGAATATTTGTATTTAGAGGTACGTTGGGTCTCCATTGAGGAATGAATTTTTAACATCTAGTTAGAGAAGAGGCAAATCATTCCTAATAAGTCAATGAATGAGTCTGGCCAATGAAGCAAAGATCTCTTGATACTGGAATCCATAGAAATGAGCGAACCGTTTAATGACAAGTTTTAATTTGAATTTGCCTTCACTTTTATCTTCCTACTGCTTGATGGTGAAGATCGACTTACATCCTACTTCATTCTATCTACTTGGTAGTTTTGAGATTTTCGGATTCCATTTTTTTTAGAGCATGAATTTCTTCTAACATGGCAGCTTTCCATTTTTGCTCTTTTAATACCTCTTGTACTGTATTGGACTGTGTTTCTCATCTAGTTTGGTAGTGAATGTCTGAAAGCTTGGTTATAAACCTTACTAGGAAATAAAGTTATAGATTCAGTGCCTAGTAAGCGATCTCACACTCCTCCTAAAGGTTATAACTCTATCGAGATTAAAGATAGGGATACCAGTATTAGGAGGTTCGACACCATTACCACTAGGTGAAGTTTAAGGTTTTCTCAAGTTTAGATCATTTTCTTGGATTTGTTATTCAAGTTTAGTTTACTTTAATCCCACTTGACCCTTCTTGCTCCTTTTGTAAACATGTAACTAGTCTTAGATTGTATATGATTTTGTTGTTGAGTTATAAGAAGCATTATTAGGAGTTTAAGAAAGAACAAGGGGACTTAGAAATTGAAATTGAGGCTTGAAACAATTTCTAGCTGCGGAATATGATTGGAAATATGCTTGGCTTGGTAATTTTCTGGACAATTTGAAAGACTAGGAAGATATGACTTTGTGGCGTTCTCACCATTCCAAAATTGGTATTTATGTGCATAAATTTTCCCTTGAACATCATATTTGGGCAGTATGGTTGTTGTTCGAAGAAGCTAATATGCATGGAATGTTTCAAGAATATGGATTTAATGGCCTTGGGATCAAGCTTGTGATAGGAGATACTTGGGTTCGCAAGTAAACCTAATCAAAATCAGTACAAAAACAAGAGAAAACTGCTGATTTCAGCAGGAAAACAGCAAATCGCAGCAGTTTTAGTGGAGAAAACTCAAGGAAAATAGAGAAAAACAATGTATTTCACTAGTAGATTCGAGAACGCAAACAAAGATACAATTTCCTTCAATCCGAGAGGAAGGAATGACTCTCCAAATCTCTAGCCGTAGCCTAGAGCCCAAGAACACAAACCTTAGATCTCCCCAAAAAAACTTCCAATGCAAGATAATCCTCTCTTTTCCTCCTCACCTCCTAATTAACCATAAAGGAGTTTTACAAAATGTCTAAACAGCCCCTCGCATTCAAAATTTCCCTCCCAAAATTCCTCCTTGGCCCCCGTCGGATGAGCTCGCTCCGCTCGGTTCCGCCCGCCCTGTTGGTTTCCGCCTCGAGTAGGTGTGGACCGGTCCGGTTTGGACCGGTCCAGCCGGCTCAAGTGCCGGCCTAACATTACTCCCCTCCCAAAAACTCACCTTGTCCTCAAGGTGAAAGTCAGGGAACTGTTGCCTGACCATCTCATAGGGCTCCCAAGTGGCCTCGTAGTCTGGAAGATCCTTCCATTTGATCAACACCTCTTTATTTCCTTTCTTGTCTACCCTTACTCCTTCCAACTCCACGGGTTCCATGACCACCTCCCAATTTTCTGTCAAAGATGCTGGTAATTCCACACTAGTTGCATGCTCCCCTAGTGCTCTCCTCAGCTGGGACATGTGGAACACTGGGTGAATGGTAGCGGAGGGGGGTAATTTCAGACGATACGCCACCGCTCCAATCTTTCCCAAAATCTCATATGGGCCAAAGTACCTCGGGGCTAATTTCTCATTCTTCCTGTGTGCCACTGATTTCTGCCTGTAGGGCCTTATCTTCAAGTAGACCTTCTCCCCTACTTCATACTGTATATCTCTCCTGTGTGCATCGGCTCGCTCCTTCATGATTTGTTGTGCCCTTCCAAGATGTTTCTTTAACTCTTCTAGCACATGATCCCTCTCCTCTAAGTACTGCTCCACTGAAGATATTGGTGTGTTTCCCCTCTCATAATGCACTAAGTGTGGGGGGTCTCTCCCGTAGAGCACTTTGAAAGGGGTCATTTGAGCTGTCGAATGGTACGAAGTGTTGTACCAATATTTTGCCCAAGGTAACCACTTTGCCAACTTTCGTGGTGTTTCTGAAGCAAAACACCTCAAGTATGTTTCCAAGCTTCGATTTACTACCTCTGTCTGGCCATCTGTCTGAGGATGATAAGCGGTACTTCTCTTGAGAACAACGCCCTGCATTTGAAACAGTTCATTCCAAAACTGACTAAGGAACACTTTGTCTCTATCGGATACAATTGATTCCGGTAGCCCGTGTAATCTCACCACTTCCCTGATAAAAGCTGCTGCCACTGATACCGCGGTGTACTGGTGTCGTAGAAGGATGAAATGTGCATACTTACTGAGGCGGTCCACCACTACCAAAATGATTGTGTAACCCTCTGAACGGGGTAGGTCTTCGATGAAATC